CACAAATTTTGTCACAATCTCACTGATGGTACCAGTATAACTATTGGGAAATCCCTACAGTAGGATGGAGGGGCTACATTCTGACCTTTTAGGCTATCTGCAATCCGAAAGCAATGGCACTAGAGCAATTTAATAGCCATTAATAAATGTATTTGATTCCAATATTAGTACCTGACAGTCCATGTGCAAAATTACAGAGCTTTTCCCCAGTGTTTTTAGTAGATGTGTTTTTTCTTAAATTTAAAATTAACAAACCTTCCCAGTCAGCTTTGAAAGATCATCTCCTCCCATTATCTGCATATCTTGCATAGACTGATCATTCTGAAAGAAGAAAAAACACCAAACTTTGAAACTGGATATAACAGTATAAAATTATAAACATACTAACTTTTTTAAAAAATATCTTTTACAGTCTTGGTTACCAATATTGTCTAATGCTCGTTAGTGTTGGTGTATGACAAAACCTTCTATCATCTCCTGGTTGTATATAAGCTAACAGCAAGATCCAGGCTTTTCTGAACTAGAAAAAGTTGCATCTTTCTTTTTAAAAAAAATAATGTTTCCTTGCTTGCTATTACTTAATATGACAAGTGTTGAGTAGCGTATTTGTCCCTTCCACAACGTGAAGACAGGAGCATCTCAACACTTGACCAACACCTGTAAGCACATTCTTTTTTTGGAACGGTCTTTAGAAACACAGGCAAAATGTGTTTACATCTGTCACTCACACAGAGAACTCAGCTATTTTTAAAGAAATTCACTTAGAAATTCACTTTTCGGGGGAAAAAAGTTTTGCAAAAATTATCACTTGTTATTAAGAATGGTTTCAGTGTGACAAACAGTTTTAAGAGGATTTTTTTGCCTTTTCTACTGACTCAAAGATAAAATCTCAGTCAATTCCGTAAAATAAAATACTATCAGTCAAGTCAAACTAAGTGCAACAGAATTATATGTTTTGATTTTCCTATTAGAAAAGGTATTTTAAAAAAATAGTAAATATTTTTTAATAAATTTGTTTTATGGACATTTCTAGTTGAAATTCATTCTGATAGAAAATTCTCAACCAGCTCTAGTTCAAATTCATTATCAGCAGCATGCAAAGTTAAGTTCACATAAGGGAGACACACAAAAGCCCTATTTTTAAGGGAAGGCAAAAGATGTCCTAAAGAAGATAGCAAATTAAAAAATACACAGTTGCAGCCAGGATATATGAACTTTCTAGAGAACGCAAGTGCAAAACTAAGTATAGTTAATGTGGGTATTTTTGCCAAATTGGTGCATGTCCTGATCTAATCTTCCTACTTCTAGGAAGACAAGTGTTAGTCCAAATTAAATAATAGCTGCCATACCACAACATGACACAGTAGTTTACCAGTAACATCAGGAAGCTCTATCATTACAAAAACTGACAAAAATGCAACACTTGAATACTTTGCTTTCATTTCACAGATCCAGTGCTCTGCAGTAAAATGTTTTTCCACAGATAAATAATGGGACAGCAGGAAATAGAACACAAGTGAGGATTTACTGGGCTAAGGGGTTTCTAGAGCTTCTTCCTCTCAAGAAGCAGCAGCACCAGTAGAGGCAGCATGGCCTGGTTCCAGTTGCAGGCCTCTGCAAGTGGGCACTGCGCCTGCCCACACTCACAGCCCAGGTGGCAGCAGTGCAAGGACTTCCGAGGCACCTTTGCAGCCACCTGACCACAAGCAACCTGACAACCCCAAGAACTATCTGTGGTCCCCATGGGAATGGATTGTCTAAATTAATACAGCTTTTCTGAGGAACTGTAAGTAAAGGTTGCAGAATTGCCCAATTTCTCCAAGTATGCATACTGCAGACCCACTGAAAGGCTCCCCTTTTACTCAGACTCCCTAAAAATCCCTCACACCACAGCTTTGTAAGAGGACCTTAGCAGTCATTGCCACAGTTTTTGGACTTGCCTTCACTTCTTCTGCACTGGATCTAGGTGCTTTAGACCCTTTTCATGCTGCTCTGATTTGTTTCCTGGGAAACAGAGCTAGAGCAGGAAAGAAGGTTACATCCCATATGTTTTCTAGTATAAGTGTCAACATTTCTCTTATTTTCCTTAAGAAAAACTGAAAGAAAAAAAAAGGAAAAAAACCAACACCAAAACACAAAGCAAACAACTTATTTTCCTCAAAAGATTATTTTAAAAATAAAAAGTGGAGATAAAAAAGATTTTAAGTTCAGGCTTAAAAGCATAAGCCCTTCATTGTAGAGCAAGATAGGTCACTCTTCAGAAGTCAGGGACATACTCAGGTCAAGACAATTATAAAACTCTAAAAAGCAGATCGTTTCTAATATTTACCATGGCACGTGTAACCAAGGCAGTGACAAAATATTTTTTCATTTCCAAATGAGAAAGACTGGAATTTCATTGCCAACAAACACACAAGAATGACCGAAGGGGCAGTCTGCCCCTAGTTGCTAGTTGAAAAAGAGAGGGGAAAAAAGATAACAGTGAGGTGCAATAATTAATGAATTTATTTATTTTTAACTGAAAAAAAGAATCTCTTTCAGCAGCCTTCACAGCAGCACTGTTTCCTTTGCATGTGGTATTTCTGGCTCCAGCTGAAAGGAAGATGCTGAAATAGCATCTTCACTGCTGGCAAGCAGTTAAGCCAACACAAAAGGCACTGAGAGCATCCTGTCAATCTGCACCTTCACACATTGGCTGCTGTGACACCACTGCACACAGCTATGAAGAACCCCGTGTCCTGACAGGGGAACCATCGCTGTCAGAGTACAGAGCTGAGTATCCACTGTGCCTAAAAACCACACAGAAAAACGCAGCTTAGGACCCTCCAGCCAAGGTGCTTTTAAGAAATGTAAAGAAATGTCCTGCATCACACAGTAGATTAATTCTGTTACAAAAAAAAAGTCTGATCACTGATTTTAATGCCATTTAGAACTATCTCTGCATTCATCAATTAACTTGTATTGTTAAATACATACCTGCCAAACAGCAAGACTCAATACCACGATGTCACATTACCTTAATCATAATGTTGATATAAATAACGTGCACACTATGGTTGCCATAGGAACCTCTCAGTGCCTTTTTCTGAGTTCTCAGTTTATAATCTCAAAATAACACTGCACTAAATGTTAAGTATTAAGCACAATACATGTTAGGAAAGAATAAAAATCTGTTTCATTTAGTACCAATTACTGTCAATTCAGAACTGCTTGTTTCATTTTTATGGTCTCAAGTCACTCAGAGCTTCTTTTTACCTTTGGGAGTTGTTCCATATCTTGAGAAACTGGTACCATTGAGTCTCTAGGACTTCATATAAATGCAGAAGTGAATTAAAGGTTTATTTTCCATTTCCCAAAGTTCCTCAATACCTGCCTTCTAACATCCCTAAACCTTATCAACAAAATTTTTGCTATTAAATGCTTGACACTAACTATAATGTCTCACATAGAGACATATCAAAATCACACCATGATTTGGTTAATGTAGCACAAAATTTATTGCAGGTGTTTCTAACAAGACATGATGCATTTTGTCACATTCCTAAACCTCATCTCAAGCTATATTTAACACTGCATTTCTGATTTTTTTGTGTTTAATAAATCTTCATTTTCCAGAATAAATCTCTATTTCTTTGTTTTTACTTGCTGTTTTGTGCTTTTTCACCTGTTTGTCTTTGGTTTATAATTTTATTTCATTCAGACCTTGTCAATATACATCTTCAGATCCTACTGATACTTGATGAAGGAAAGCAAGAATGTTGCTATTTCCACCTCCATTTGTCATGGCATGCAAGATAACGACTTTCTAAGTTGATTGGAAGTATAGATAATTAAATTCCATCTATATTAAGTCATGTCTTTTGAACTGGGTGGAGCACAGAATTATTACATCTCTTTTACATCTCCTGAGATCAACACTTGGACACAGTTCAGTTTACAAGTGAAATGAGTTGGGTGGTCTCAGGAAAATTTATTATAAACAGCATTGCTCATCCAAAAACTGCACCAAACTGTGAACATCTGTTACTCTCCTTAAGAAACAGGATCTGGAGCACATTAACACTGGGCTCAGTGAAACAAAGGTTCTTTAATCATGGTAAAAAAGTAGCTCTAACATAACAGTTTAAATGCATAACTGAATTATGAAATATGGACTCCAGGTCATTATCACACACCTGGTTACTGTAGTCTGCAGAGATCATACAGAATCTCTTTTTAGAAAAGTGATTACCTTTTTCTCCCAAAATTCATCAGGGAAACTCTTAAGAACGGAGGATCAGGCCTGTCCTACTTTGCTTTCTGCTACTCGGGTGCTACGGCAGATCCGCCAACCTGAGAATTCCCATGAGTACAGCTTTCTCACTTTGCACCATCATCCCATCTCCTACAACTGGGTTTTCCAGGAAGGTTTTGACCAAAACACCTTCCTTTTGATCATTTTCAGTTGTCTCTTGGAACCTCAAGTCATTGAATATAGAGCATCTCTAAGGCTTTCCTTATCCTTCCCTAATGACGAAGTGAATGGTTAGGACAGAATTACTGCCTGTAAGGTTTCTGCCCACAATAGGCAGAGTTTGAAAAGCAAGAGTCAAGCACCACTTCACCAATAGGTTTGGTGTGACGCGTCCACTAAAGCAGAGTTGTCTCCACATTCACTTTGGCCTCATCTTTTTATTTTCCATTAAGACTCATTAACTGCATGTGATCTCTGCTTCCCATAGGGTGACCTACGACCTTGAAATGTCTTCATTAAAGAGGATTACTCTGTTCCTTTAGGAATCTGAAAGTTAAGACATGTGAATCCTGGGCATCCTGAGCTCCCTTCATAATCAGTAGAGAAAACAAGATAGATCATGTAAATAATCTATTTCACCATATGGGAAATCTAGAGCAAATCGCTTACACCTAAACATCTAACTGTGAGAAATCTGAAGTTATGCAAAATGAATATGAGATGAGATCAAAATTTTCTTCCTTAAAACCTCACTGAGCATTCAGAAAGTAATTACTTTTAATCACATTTAATACAGGCACATAAGAAGAAATTACCTTGACTATTTTCCATTAGTAACAACCCAAACTATCAAGTCAGGCTCGCTCTCACACAAATGTTTAACACTATTTTCCTCAGTACCACTCCAGGATTATTTTCTTGAATGTCTACTCAAAGGTTTTATGTTAGTGTAGGTAAAATATATTTGAGGGAAGCTTTCAAAAGATACAACTAACCTAATATTTCTTCCAACTTACAACACAAAAAAATATTAGCAACCAGTCTTTGCAAGTTTTTTACAAAAACATCACCCTGGATGATT